TCAGCCTCAAAGGCAGCCCCACGTAGAGCGCATTACAGTGATCTAATCTTGAGATTACAAGCGCATGCACCAAGGTAGTAAGCGCCCCCGTGTTGAGATAGGGTCGCAGCCGGGCAATCCGCCAAAGATGGAAAAATGTGGTGCGGACTACCGACGCCACCTGGGAACAGCTGCATCATCGACGAAAAGGAAATCCTGTATGCATTTCAGCTGGACTTTGGTCTTGATGGACACCTTCTGCTGCGTTCTTCAGTATGACAGGAAAACAGATCCCAAACAGGATCAGCGCCAGGACACAGCCCTGTTTCACTCCGCTTCGGATGTCAAAGAATCTGATTTTGAGCCATTAAAAACTACAGTGCCCTTCATTTCCTCATGAAAGGACCTGATTATGTTAAGGAATCGAGGTGGACATCCAAGCTTGGGAAGTATTTAAAAAAGGCTGTCCCTGCTAACCAAATCAAAGGCCTTTGTAAGATCTATGAAGGCCACAAAGAGTGGTTGTTGTTGTTCCCTACATTTCTCCTGCAACTGAGGAAGAACGTTCTCTATTGTCTGTTGAAACCGGAAGCAGTTATTAGGTCTTCTCAAAGTCCTTCCCTTTCACTTCCTTTATCTTGTTTTTAAAATCTCCGAGCACATAATGTCTCAAGCAGCAACCTCCATCTGTCTCAAGAGGGAAAGTATTTCTTTTATCCTTTTTTGTTCTCTCTGTTCTTAATTATCTACACATAGAATCATAGAATAGTGAAGTCTGAAGGGGCCTAGACGGCCATCAAGTCCAACCCCCTGCTCAACGCAGGAATACAATCAAAGAATATCTACCACGTGATGATCTAAGTTTTTCTTGAATGCCTCCAGTGTTGATGCACTCACCAACTCCCAAGGTAACTGGTTCCACTGTTGTACTGGTCTAACAGTTAGTAAGTTTTTTCTGATATTCAACAAAAATCTGGCTTCCTTTAGCTTGAGCCCATTGCTGAACATCCTGCATTCTGGGAAGATCAAGTACAGATCTGACATATTTTTTGTCAGAAGTGCATTTCTGGAAAAGAGTGAATTATTCTTATTGTGTTTCACAGTCCAAAAAAAAATCCAGCTCCTCTTGCCCAGACATTAATATTGACTCTAACTGCTGTTTTCTCTGCCAGCTTGAGCTCAAGATGCCCAGCTAATTAGTAGCCAGAAATATTTTTATTTATTTGATTTATTTGATTTATTTGATTTATTTGATTTATATCCCGCCTATCTGGTCTACTATACCACTCTAGGCGGATTCCAGTATAGGATAAAACAATAAAAGACAAGAACATTACATAATCATTTGATACAGCTACAATAAAATAGAGAATAAAATAAAGGGGGCCGCGCAAATCGCCGGAGGGAGATTGTTCCAGAGGCGAGGAGCTACCGCCGAGAAGGCCCGGTTTCGTGTCTTCTCCTTCTGGGCCTCTCTCAGCGTCAGGCTCCTCAGCCTCACCTCCTGACTCGTGCGGGTGATCCGGGTAGACCTTGGTAGGAGCAGGCGTTCTGCCAAATATCGAGGTCCTAAACCGTTTAGGGCCTTGTAAGTAAGCATTAAGAGTTTGAAGTCGACGCGGAAACGAATGGGCAGCCAAAGCAATGCGGCCAGAGTTGGAGAAATATGTTGGTATTTTCTCACTCCAGTGAGGAGTCTGGTCACTGCATTCTGCACCACCTGAAGTTTCCGCATCAGCCTCAAAGGCAGCCCCACGTAAAGCGCATTACTGTGGTATAATCTTGAGATTACAAGCGCATGCACCAAGGTAGTGAGTGCCCCCGTGTCGAGATAGGGCCGCAGCCAGGCAATCCACCAGAGATGAAAAAAGGCGGTGCGGACTACCGACGCCACCTGCATTTCCATGGTGAGTGTTGGGTCCAGATGTACGCCCAGGCTGCGGACCCCACTCTTCGCGACCAGGGTCACCCCCCCAAACGTGAGTCACCCAAGCCGCCAACCATGGGGCCACCCACCCTCAGAACCTCCGTCTTGTCCGGATTCAGCCTCAGCCCATTTTCCTGCAGCCATTTCAGTACGGCTCCCAGGCAGTGCTGGAGGGACAGGACGGCATCACCTGCAGTTGGTAAAAAGGAGATGTAGAGCTGGGTGTCATCAGCATAATGGTGATACGACGCTCCACACCCCCTGATGACGCCCGCTAGCGGCCTCATATAGATGTTAAACAGCATTGGGGAGATGATCGACCCCTGTGGAACCCCACAAGAGACTCCACAGGGCCAAAACACTCTCCCCAAGCTGCACTCTCTGGGGACGGTCCCCCAAGAAGAAACGGAGCCAGGCGAGTGCTGCGCCACCTATTCCCAACTCGGAGAGCCTCCCCAGGAGGATACCGTGGTCGACGGTATCAAAGGCCGCCGAGATGTTGAGGAGGACCAACAGAGACATTTTACCCCTGTCAGCCTCCCTCAACAGGTCATCATACAGGGCGACCAATGCCGTCTCTGTACCGTGGCGCGGCCTGAAGCCCGACTGAAACGGATCCAGGGCATCTGTTTCATCCAAGTGAGCCTGAAGCTGATCAGCCACCACCCTCTCAACCACTTTAAGTTTCTTTCTTATGGGCCTTGTGCTTCCTTATTTCCCACTTTGTCAGACTTCAGGATATATTCAAAGTTATTATTAATCACAGTCATGGTCTGAACTTCTTTCAACTCCTTTAAACATGTTGCTGTGTGTTTTTATTTTGTTGAATGCTCAGGAGAAGCGTTATTAACATCTGGCCACTTTGCCCATTGGCCCCTACTCCCTAAAACGATACCTTTATAGGACAACAGAAAAGTCAGAAAGAGTGAAGAGGTGCACAAATTCTGAAATCCTGTTCGATAGCCATTGGAAGCCACAGGATGGTGGGGAAGTCTTTAATTTCCTAAAAGTGCTACCACTGGGATGACTTTCCTGGTAGCAGCGATTTTCAGGGAAAAAATCCCTCTCCTGCAGTTCCTATGGTCCTCCACTATGAAAGGGATTCTTTGGCAGATCAGAATTGTTTTATTTCTGAAAAATTGCTACAGCTGATGATGTCATCAGCCTTAAGCAGTGTAATTGATGACAACAGGATTTCACCCACAAAGTGTGCAGAAGCACAAAAAATGTGCAAGCTTTTGAGAATACTATCCATGCCTCAGGCAACTAAATAGAGAAAGTCATGCAGAGAGCTTCGTGGCTGATTGGAGATTTGAATCTGGACCAAATGTTCATTACATTTAATTCAGCAAGGTAGGTATTGAGTTCTCAACTTACCATATACCACGGGGAAGACAGTTCCTCTAATTCCTGAAGCTGGACAGTGCATATTTTTTCCATTTAAATAAATATTTAGTTCTACATGGTCATATGTAATTCCCTGTAAGACAAAGTTAAAGTCTTTATAAACTTCTGTCTCACTTGTATTTAATTTGAAGTAAATATTTATTTATTATTTCAACTTCTAATTTCAAATTCAAAAACAACCATGAAGGACAGAATCCTGTTGAATGGACATAAAGTGGAAAGGCAATCATGTAAGAATCCCCATCTCTCAGCAGGCTCTGTTTTCCATGCCTCATCTCACCTCTGTTGCAAGTTCAATTGTGGAACAGAAGGCCTGCCAAAGGAAGAAAACAGCTAAGCAATTGCCCTTACACAACTTTATTTTTTCTTGAATAGGATTCTGTTCCACCAATTTATAAGGCATGTGGAAGAAAGGGTCTGTGAAAGACCTGGTTCTGAAATGATTCCTAAAAAGGCAAAAGGTAGGATCTACTGCAGAAAGCGTTCCTCACCCAAGGAGCTAGTCTCACCTTTTGGGGTGAATTTGAAGAAAGCTTGATCCTAATACCTAGACAGTGTTGGAGGAAGCATTTTGGCAAGTATTGAATGTTACTGCTTCTGTGGTTTAATACAAAGTCTCAGTTCTTATGCAGAAAACTAGACATGGGGATGAATATAAAAATGACTCAGGATATTCATTAAATATCCCTGATTTGTCAGATACCTGTTGCTTCGTACTCTTGGGGTCCAGAGACCCCAACGAATACGAAGCAACGAATATAACCCTTTTATATTTGTCCCTTCATTCCCTATGGGCTTATGCCCCCACGGATCAGCTGTTCCTCAGGGGCATAAGCAGAGGGATTTTCCCTTTGGCCGGCTTGCTAAAGCCTGCCCGAAGGGAATCCCAACCCCAGGGCTGGGGGTTGGTTTGGTTCCCCTTTCTTCCTCTTCCTATGCCTGTGCGGCATAAGAAGAGGAGGAAAGGGATCAAAGAGTGATCAAAGGGACACACCCACACCCACCCGCAGCTGCAGGATGGCTTTGATCCCTGCTTTCCCTCCTTTTGCTATGCCCCGCAGGGCATAGCAAGAGGGAAAGCAGGAACCTCGTCCCCATCTCTACAGACAACTGCTTCCAGAAATATAATACACTTCATAGAATGTCTTAAAGTAGAAGTAAGCTGGTTTGATAGTAAAATTAAATTTTCTTAGTACACAGTCCTATGGAGACCTACAAAGAAATCATTTCATTTCAGTGAAACTTACTCGCTAACGAACACAACATATTTATTGCAAACACCCACAGAAGTGTGTGCTACTGTATATTTCTGGTTAAACAAACTAAAGCTGTTCAGGGAAACCTGAAGATTTCATTCCAACTGCATTTCAGATTTCTCTTGATTAAACATGTAGAGTGAAATGCTCTTACGAGAGATGTGCACTTTGTATTCATATTCAAGGGATACGAATACAAAGGGTGCCAATGATTCATTCCCTCCCCACAGAACCAGCCCGGTCCAACTCACCAGGCTCTGTGTGGCATGCACATCCACCAGCATTGTTGTCATGGCCAATCGCAGAAGTAGTCCAGCTGGCGCTTCCCCGCCTCTCCCCACACCTGACTGGCCGGACTATTTCCACAATTGGTGTGATGATGATGCTGATGGATGTGGGGAGCCCGGTGAGTGGACTGGGCTGGTTCTGTGGGGAGGGAATGGACTGCAGTGGCACCTGTGGAGCCACGTTTCATATTTGTATCCCCTAGATACGAATACAAAGTGCCCATATCTAGCTGTTATCCTTCACATGTTGCACTAATCCAGATTTGCACTGGATATGCTAAAAAACACATCAAAATGCAGATGGAATCTATATTATAGGATACATAAATACAATGAAAAATATTTAGAGAAAAAATATTTTATATATTATTTTATTTATTTTATTAGATTTATGCCCTGCCTATCTAGACAGATAGTCTACTCTGGGCAGCAAATACATTTAGAGGTACCTGCTTTGTGAGAAAATGCATTCAAAATATATTTTAACTGTGCATTTGTTTCAGGAAAATATAAATTAATATAGGCACAGGACAGAACTTGCAGCTGAACTCTTAATTTTGAAATCATGTGCAAGCCTGCTTAAAAGCAAAAAATATGTCAATGGTATACTCTGAAGTACTGTATAGAACTATATAAATCTGCAGCCTTAGTGCAAAAAGTTTTAGGAACAGTTAATGTATAGGAAACAAGCTCCATGTCTATGTACATATGTTAGAAATGATAACAGCATTTGTGCCTGTACATTATAGCTTTTGCAATTCAACTGTAAGAAGTGGGGGCAGTTGTCATTCATTCTTTGTGGCAGGAAACACTAGTCTATCAGGAGAAAATAAAATAGAATTTTTCAAGGTTGCAATGCAAGGAAAAAAACAGACAGGTCAAAATGATACAAAAAAAGTTCATAGATCTTGGGTATTCCCTGCAAAGCGTAAAATTGGTTAGCACTAGAGCAGCTAAACAAACTCCACTGTGGAACAATGGTTTAAGTTAGTTTAAAATACAAAACCACACATTTGTATACTGGCCAAAATCCTGTTGACATAGTTATACCATTGTATACTTGATCTTGGTACTGGAAATAATTAATTTAAAATAATTGAAAGCTTCCACTTCACACTCAGCCCACTTCAGGTTCTGGCAATACAGCAAGCCCTGCCATATGCTGCAGGCGCCGGGGATCTGGTGCCCGCCATGGCTTGAACTACAATTCCAATAATCTCTCAGCGAAGCTGGTTGGGGCTTCTGGGGGCTGAAGTCCAAAAATCTAGAAGACAACAGCTTGCCTACTCCTGCATGAGCATAAGAGCCAAATGATGATTGGGCAGCTCTTTTACTATCCCACTCTGTGCCCCATACCACGAGCTGAGCAGCATGCAGGCCCCAGAGCCATTTTAGCAGCTCCCCAGCACTGTCTCCACAATTTTTTAAATTTTAAAATATTTGTTTTACTCAGAAAGTTCTCTAGTGCCCTTTGAAAGTGTAGAGAATAATACTGCCCTTAACACCCCTCCAATTATTTTTTAAAAAACATTCTTGGCCATTAGAGGGTGAAATTGCCTTTTTCTGTTCAAAAATTCTTTTTAAAAAGTTAAACCTGTTTTTCAGTTAACAAACCCCTACTGTTGCATGCTTGCAGTACATAATCATGGCTTCCCCTTATAGCTTTACCCTTTCGAAGTACAGCCTTCAGGCTGCTGGAAAATCTGACTCCACTGTCATTGCTCACTCCTGCCTTCCAGAGTTAGCATGTTTCTGGTCTTTTTTTCAGGAGCTGGAGGCCAGCTTTCTAACTGGACCAGATTAATAGAATTCCATTGCAAACATAGTGCTGAAGATCATGAAGTAAGAGATGGTTTGAAGGACATAGGAGCAGTTCTGATTCCCACATGTGATACTGAAAGAAACTTACCACAACATCACCTTCCTGTGGAAGATTATTTGCAGCTAACCTGTTCTTTTCTTCATTATTGTAGTAAAGGGCGCCATCATTTCTCAGTACTAGACTATGACCATCACACCCAAGAGGAATCTGATTCAGATTTACCTTCTGAGTTGCGACTCCAATACCCCAAATTCCTGAAAGCAATGAAAGCCAGGGAAGGGGTGGAAATAGCATAGCCATGACAGAAAAGAAAAGGCCTTAAGGAGGATATGATTTAGGCTGCAATTCTACATATACTTATTCCAAATAAAGTTCTAGTGAATACATACAGTAAAAACGCATATCCAAGTCACATGTGTAACTGCACCATAAGTTACATAAATAATTTAATATTGGCTAAGAAATATTTGTATAAACTATTATATAAATCAGAAAGTTGGGCCAGATCATTTTTTCTTCAAAGTGGAACAGACTAATCCTGTTTTTCCCCTTATTTTCAACAGTTTCCAACTAAAATTAAATGATAAAAATAACAGAACATGGTATCCTCCTAGACAGACTGGGCTGGAAAATGGGGGCACCATCATCCAGTGACTATCCTATTATAAAAGATGGGGTTAAATGTGCTATTCTATAGCTTTTATTGTATGAAACTCAGCTATGTCATCACAAACTATTGCATGTTTACAAGGAACAGCTGGCAGAGAACCAACATCCTGAACAGATATGTTTACTTATCAACTTTTGCTGTAACTGTCAGGTATTACTGTAAATACTGTGAAGCATATATGAATATGTAATCATAAGAGAATATGTATTCAGTTGAGCCACAAGAGATAGGAACCAAAGTGCAAGTCCAATTCCTAGGATTCACTCTGAATCCTTAACTGAATCCTTCATATACGAATATCCCCCCACAGGTGGAGATACCAAGGGACTGGACTGTCCACTCATGATTATGCCGCTGCCGCGAACTGCACGGAGCCTTTCTGCAACCTGGCAGAGAGGCTCATCATCCCATCTTCTGCCAGGACTGGCTAATCTATCATGAGCAACAGAGCGATAGGAAGGTTCTGTGCAGCTCGTGGCAGCAGCATAGTCGTGAGGGGGCCCTTGTTATTTCTACCTGTGGGGGGATAGTCGTATATGAATACGAATACCCTCATCTCTATCCTTAACGCTAAAACTGTTGTAAGCCGCCCAGAGACCTTTGGGCAGTGTGGGCGCCATATAAATGAAATAAATAAACTGGAGTCATATTCTGGTGCTAAGATCTGGCAGTTCAGCAGTCTCACGACATGTACATTTCACAGTACTTATGGGTTAGGGCTGACAGTTATAACACAAATCAGGATGTATGTCCTCATCATTGTGCATGAGCGCAACACATTTCAGCAGTGAGATAGTTTCTGTCACTCTAAAAGAGGAATTCTGACACAATAATGGCTGAAACAAACTACAGAACAGAATAATGGCTGTTGCTAATTTTTTTTTAATTATAAAGGATATCAGTATGTTCTGGAATAATCTGAATATTAATGAATATGACTCTCTGGTCATGAATATTAATGTGATATCTGCATAGACCAATGGAACTGCTGGAGGGGTGGAATCACGAAATATAAGAATCAGGAGGAGGAGGGGGAGTGAGTTGAGGAGTTTGAGAGTTTAGAGAGTTGAAGAGGTTTTGGAGTTTGGGCAGGACAGTGGTAGTTGACGTGATGAAGGACGATGTTTGTTAAGAGTTAACAACATTGCTTAAACTAACATCATCTGTAACAATAAACAATTTCTATTCTGTTCTTTTAAAAATGACACACTGCCTGGACCTCCATTATTAATATTAAAAAATGTTGATGTAATCAACTGGTGGTAGCTGAAAGACACAGAGCGTGAGCTAGTAGTTTGATGAAACAATTGGGCCACGTGGAGTCATGAGAATCTACCACCCTTTCTGTGCCTGCTTTGTGTGCACATATATCTTGCTTTTCAAAAGGAAAGGATACTAGATTTGTATCAACATTTTGTGCAAATTTCAGAGACTTTGATGGAGCGTGAGAAAGCACCTTGCCACACCCTTGCACTGGAGGTCAGCAATCTCACAGGGGTTACATTCTCATGGACAACTCTCACGATTTCAAGACATCTTGAATCAATGAGAATGAGGAATTTTGTGAGTATATTTCACAGCAAAACTAGACTCGTTAAATTACCTCATCAAAATATGTATATACACATACACATACAGTTAGAAATGGCAGAGCATGTACATGTGCATATGCACATTAAAACAATGTCAGCCAGTTCCAGATAACTGAATCAGTTACCAAACTTGTATCAGCTTCCTTCAGAATACTTTCATTTGTAAACCAAACCAGTAAAGATTCGTAAAATTATTTTAATTCTCTGACATAAATATATGCCCAGTTACTGTTTTCCAGAGTGAATTTGATTTAAATAAAATTGATTTAATTTTTTAAAAAATTTAATAATTTAAATCACAAAATTGATTTTATTGATACTGTATCATGATTTAACTTGATTCGATTTTTAAAAAATCATTGATTTTTGCACCCTTGCTGTTTCCTGTGCCCCAAACTTTTAAAATGACATGAAAAGGCAAAATATAAACCTTGAACAATTCAGTTGGGGTTTTGTAAAACACATTACAAGTGTCAATTGCATTGATCATGGATGAGATCCATTTTCAAATTCTACAAATGCAAAGATTCCTTCTGTGTACTGAAGACATTCAGTAGATGGATTCTACAAGCAAAAAAGGCAAAATTTGCTGATTTTTCTTTTTGCACTTTGCAACTCCAAGTAGTCTCCAAAGTCTGCTCTGGAGAATCCCTCAACCTTCTGGAGCAGACTTTTTTTTTTTTTTTTTTTTTTGAGGTAATGGAAACTGCAGAGAAAAGGGGAAATGGACAAAAGCTATCCTCCCCACTCTTTCTGCCAAGGGAAGCATCTCCTGAACAGAATTATGTTCATAGAAATGCCACTCAAGGGTGAATGAAATCCACAACCAACACAATGAATTGAGCTCAATTTGAACATAATATTACAGTACTTGTTTTGGAAAACATTAACTTTTAACTGACCTGTAGATTGGATTTTAAACTCAAAATAACTCTTGTTCTGATGTAAAGGGGCATTGGCTAAACAGCCTCCTGTACCACATACTCGGCGTCCATTTTTGACAATGACCACATCTGTTCCTGCAAGATTTAAAGCATCAAGACAGTAAAAAAAATGAATTTCTATTTAAGGCTACATATAATTCTATGCAGATATGTTTGGAAGTAACTCCTATTGAATTCAATGGAGTTTACTTTCAGCTAAGGATTGTAGCCTTACAAAAGAACCATATCCAAGCTTATTTAGAAACATTCTATGGACGTGTTTCATATTTTATAATTTAAGACTAAAATTACAATCCTAAAAAGCTTTGCTGACCTATGGATGCATCTGCGCACAATGATAAGGTATAATCTTCGTGAATCCTGGCTTATCATTCATGAGCTATATACTAGTGCATGCTTGCATGCTGCTTTTTTGCTTCTACTGGGCCCTTCCTGCCAGTGGCAGCAGCTAAATAACCACAGAGAGAAAACATACACTGTTGTCCAGATTGGAATTTCTAGATCATCACTCTTGGAGTATGAAGCAACAGTGCTTAACAAACTATTCATCCCAGCTCCTTAGCATTCTGATATGTATACTGTACTATTCTGCATGTTCCACATTTCCAAAATGTGCTAGTGCAGATACCTGTTCTATGACATCAAATACAAAAGTATTTGTATAGCTTTCTAAAAACATGTGAAACTTTTTAGTAAAAAGGCTGTTGCTAAGCAGATTCTTCTCTACCAGCTGACAAGCAGGTTTCTTGGTGAACATGCAGGAATGCATCTATGATAAAGAAACATGCAATAAAGAATCCTACATTTCTGAGAACAGAAAATTGGTTATTATTCATCCATGGTAGGTATACAAAAAAAGCATAGTTCCCCTATCCATTTTGACAGTTTTTTCATTTGTAAAGCTAGAAATTAATTTCATTTGGTGCACCATATAAGGAGAATCCACACTGAAAATTATTAAAAAGACTCTTGACTGCTTCCAGGTAATGAATCATGAACATTTTTCCCAGGATAACAGAAGTACAGACATTCCAAAGTGTTTTCCATGACAGTATTAGAAACATTAAATCTCTTACAAAGAAAGAATTAAGCAGAAGATTAACATGTGCCTTTTAAATTATTTATTAATCATATTTTATGCTACCTTTCTTCTGTCACACAAATGCAATTTCTCATTGGACAATTAAACAATATAATTTTGCTTCCTGCCATGGAGTACCATCCCATGTATTTAATTTGTTCAAAACATTTATGCTTGGGCAAAGTAGTTCAAGTAATTTGGTGTGTTCTGATACAGGTCCAAAAATGTTTCCAGTAACACTTTGGCAAAATATTCAGTCTTTTTGTTTTTATGCACCTGTACACATATAACATTCATCTGAGGATGTAAAAATGAAAAGAGGAAGACCGACATTTCTCTGCTGAGTCTCCTGTACAGTAATTATTTCTAAACACAGAGACCCTAAGAGATTGCGCCCAGGTGCTAGCAGTGGCTTCCCCGTGGTCGCAAATCCAGCTCCAGGGGCCATCGGGCCCATCATTCCGGCCCCAGCCCTCCTATTCCCCAGTTCCCCCTGGGGCCATGCGGCCTGCCGGCCATTCCAGCCCCCCCCCCTTTTTTACTCCCGGTGTGGCCATTTCCATGCCCTGAGCCCAGTTTCATTCCTGATCGAGGGGCTGCCCGTCCGTTCTCGGCCTGCCCTTCTTCTCCCGGGGTCGGCTCCGCCAGCCACTCACATTCAAGGCAGGTCAGTTATTTCGATTTTTCAATGTGCTTGATCGGGTTTATTTAGCGGTATTCTAAAAAATTAAATAAAAGCCTCAATATTCCACACACACAAACTCGTCAGATCAGATCTCGTAAAGCTCAACTCGTCTCTACACGTCTTCATGGCGCCCACTCATACCCAACGGCCAGACCTCCCTTCCTCCAGTTCTCAGTGGAAATTCCCCCTTCCTCGCTCCGCGATACAGTATGAAACATTTGGAGAGCAAACCGGCGGAGGCGGCTGGCCAGGGCTCCCTGGAGAAGGGACGGGAGACGAACGCAGGGGCCCAAAGTCCGAAGGGGAAGAAGAAGGCCTTTCTTCTCTACCTTCTTCCCCTCAGCCTGGGGAGGGGGGGGACGGCGGCGGGGCCCTCCTTTCCTTACCCATCCGCTGCGTATCCAGCAACACCGACGGCATCTCCTTGAGGGGGATGTGGCCGCCGCCGCCTTCCCCGCAACAGCCCCATCTCAAGCAGCACCAGACCGAGGACGAGGCCGGACTCGCTGCCATGGCTGCCTTGCCCGGCTGGGGCTCCTTCCGCGTCTCCTGCCCCAAGCGGCCGTAACGCTTAATGGTTCCTTGGTCGAAGGTCGGTTCCCGAGTGCAACTGGTCTGAGCGTCCATGTGCGGGGTAAGAGAGGAGGCAATGAGTCTCCTCTTCCACCCAGGACCTCGAGGAGCTCGGAGGGAGAGCGGTGCTTCTGCCCTCTTGAGAGACAAAATTTAAACAGTCAGGGCTACAACAGAAGGGGACTGCCCCCATCTCGACCGTGGCCTATATCTTAATCGTGCCTGTTTCATGAAATGATCCCAAGCAGTCTGCTTCACAAAGCTCCCAATCCCCTCACCTGTTATTTCTATTCTAGTCCCCCTTTCTTCTATTACTCTGTCTCAATAGCCGCTCTCTCTTTCCACTCAGCTGTCCTTCAGCCTTTTTTTCCTGCTCACCACTCCATCCCAGTAGAGTCTCTTCTATGCATTAAAAAGCACACAGAGATGTGCGTACATTATTATGAATTTTAAACTTGTACATGGCATATATAAGCATTTACATAAGCAGGACTTTATATTCAGAATAGGTAAATGTAAAGTAAGAGCTGGCTTGACAGAAGGATGTGTGAAAAGGATCTAGGAGTCTTACCAGATCAGAAGCTAAACATGAGTGAACAGTTTGATGCAGCAGCAAAAAACAAAAAACAAACAAACAAAAAAAAACCACTACAGGAGCTCAAGGGTAGTGATAGGACCACTTTATTTTATTTTGGTCAGAAGTCACCCAGACTGCTGTGTCCAGTTCTGGGTACAGCAGTTTAAGAAGGCTATTAAGAATGTATTTATTTATTTATTTATTAAACTTCTAAACTACCCATATGATCAATGGTCCCTCTGGGCAGTGTACAACAATGAGCAGTATAAACATATGATTCAAACAAACAACAATTAAGTTAAAATAAGGCAGTGGCTGTAGATGTTAAACATAAAATCTCAGTGGAACTTTTAAGATTATATGGTTTGAAAAGGCTGCTGAAACAGAAAAGTTTTAAGGATTTCTTAACGTCTCCAAAGAAGAGGCCATGTGGATTTTGGGCGGCAGTTCATTCCAGAGTGTGGGAGAAACCACCAATGCCCAATTCCCTCTTTTCTCCTTCCAGGCTTCTCTTGAGGTTAGAATCCTCAGCTGCCTAGCCTGAGATGCACAGGGACAGGCAGTCCCTTTTTGGTAGGAGGCAGTCAGCCGTGTCCTGAGATCCCAAACTGTTTAGGGCTTTATAGGTCAAAAACAGCACCATGAACCTGATACAGAAATGAACCAGTAACCAGTGCAAGGCAGCCAGTATCAGGGAAATGTGTTTATGTTTATTGATCCCCTTAACTAGCCTGGCTACCATATTCTGGGCCTCTGGAGTTTCTGGATCAGTCTCAAGGGCAGCCCCATGTAGAACAAATCGAAATTAGTCCAAAGGAGGGTGACCAAAACGGTAAAAGGTGTGGAAACTAAACCCTATGAAGTAAGTTGAGGGAGCAGGGTATTTTTATTTTGGATTGGAACATGTTATGATTGGCATCTTTAAATACAGTATTTGAAACATTGTCATATGTAAGATGCAGCAAGATTGTTTTCTGTGAACTCAGAGAATAAGACCCAAGGCAATGGAATCAAGTACTGTATGTAGCTAGTCTTCAAAACTTAGTAAAAGAGTGTTAAGAGCCAGAATATTCCTATGTGTTTCCAGGGTGTATTATTTTTCTTTAGTCTGGAGAACTGACTATCTTGCATTTTGTGTAATTCTAGTTGAACGTAATAAAAATCCTAAAGGTCTTGTGGGTTTTATCTCCTGAATCAACATGGCAATTTTTATTTTATAATGACTGTTTTCCCAAACAACCTTACATTTAAAAGCAGCATCTTCACATTACAACACCTGTCTCAGCATGGCTTCCTTTTTCTAGGACACTCTGCAGTGAAGGGAACAGAGTAGTCTGGGGGATTTTGATCCCAAAAAGTAACATTTCTAAGCTCTGGGAGTTTGCCTCTTCCTTGTTTTTATTTAGTAGTAGAAAACATCACTCTCCACAGTTGCCTGCTCCCAAAGGATGCTAAACCTATCATGGGAATTTCTAGGGAAAGAGGGCATCCTAAAAAAGAGCTCGTTTCTCCACACTCACTTGCTTTATTTTATTTATTGATTGATTGATTGATTGATTGATTGATTGATTGATTGATTGATTGTCATTGTAAGTATATACACCGTACTGTATACCCATACAATGAAATTCACAGACATCCAGAGACCAGACACATGCACACACATACAATTCCCCAAACACTCCCACCCACTAAAAAAAATCCCCTTTAAGCTCATTATTAATTGCAATTATAGCTCTGGGATAAAAACTATTGAGAAAACGTGTGGTCCGAGTCTTAATTGTTCTATATCTTCTGCCAGACGGTAACAGTTCAAAAAAGTTATAAGCAGGATGGGAAGATTCTCTCAGGATGCTATGTGATTTCCTTAGACAGCGGGATGTGAAGATGTCATCCAGGGTTGGTAGCTGGAGCCCGATGATATTCTGGGCAATTTTAATGGTTCTCTGTAGAGCTTTTTTGTCCGCTACAGAGCTACTCCCAAACCATGCCAGAATGCCATAGGTTAGGACACTCTCAATGGTGCTACGATAGTATGACAGAAGTAAATGCTGAGATAAATTTAACTTCCAGAGTATTCTCAGGAAATACAGCCTCTTCTGTGCCTTTTTTATTAGCATGTTGGCATTTATAGTCCATGAGAGGTCCTCTGAGATGTAAGTGCCCAGAAATTTAAAACTACCAACTCTCTCCACTTCCTCGCCATTTATGTACAGTGGTAAATGTACATTTCTCTTCCTCCTAAAATCAATTATGAGTTATGCTTTCCAAAATCAATTATGCTTTCCAACATGTGGCATACATGCTCTAGTGTCACGGGGGTTTGTTATTAGGCAGTTTGCAGAAATGCTATTCCTTTTCGATCCAAGATGTCGGGTATGAAGGCTCCATGAGCCTGGTTCCCCTTCAAAAAGTTTTTAAAAATCCACCTGATTTTTCCAGTTCTTTGACAGAGAAAGAGGAGCAAAAGGACGGAATCGAATTCCTTCTTCCAAACAATTTAAGAGCAGACGTTGCAACTGCCAACTACATAGCCAATACTTAAAGAGTATCCGCTCTCCCAGTTAGCTGGCGACCTGTCTCCACATACAGTATAAGCTTGTTCCACGACACTGCTTCAGCCGCAGCAGACGGACTCTATGGACTGCCCTCCAACCACCGGGGGCCAGAATCCGGTCCGTGAAAGGTAGTGCCGGCAGCGGGCAGGCGAGCTACCCCACCAGCCTTCCTTCGTGCCCTAAAAACCTATCCCAGATTGTGGGCCAGTTTCTGAGTTCCCGGCGAGGGAAGGCAAGGGAATTCTCGCGCGACATGGAGGTCCCCGTCAGCGGACGCTCTTCCGGGGCGCCGGGAGCTTTGTCGCGACCAGCCGCCGTCATAGGCAGGGCGGGAGCGTCCGCGCCCCTCCTCGCAGGCCCCGCCCCGTGCGGGAAGGGAAGCCGAATGGCGGCGGCCTTCCCTCTTGCTCCCTCCGAGGCCCGGGATCCCCTGTAGGGAACGTGGGCGCCCCCCCCCCAGTCTGCCCCAGGCGGCTGGGTTAGGACTGCAGGCTTCCGGACTGTGTACATCGGTGAGTAGGACTCGAGGTAGAAGGTCTGGGCCTCCCCTTCAGAGGCGGGCACCGGAGCCGCGGCAGTCCGGATGGGAGGCCCCCGGCCTGTGGCACCGCTCGGGGGCGGCGAGCGGACTTGGCTGGTTCTCCCTCCGTCAGTCTAGCAGAGCCGCCCTCCCTTCCTGCTTTGTCTCAGCGAGAGGGCTGCCTTTCCGTCAGCGGGGCTCCTCTCTCGGCCCCTGTTGCGCCCCCTCCTCTTTTCCGGCTGAGCGCCGGGGGTGGTAAAAGACGTCGTCCGGTTGGACCGAGGCGTCCCAGCGATGCGTCTCTCTTGTCCTGAACGGCCGAAGTAGGAGCAGAGACGGGAGCCCCGTCTCTTTTGGAATGGAGGTGACGGGGTTGAGGGGAGGACGTTCTTTGGTTATTTCAGGTTGCCTCCCGATGCCTCTTGGCAGTCGATGCTGGTCGCGTTCAGGGCTGCTACCTCCTCAAGAGGCGGCCGGTTATCTTCAGGGTGTCACAAGTGCCAAAGAATCTGGTCCACCAAGAAATTGTCTAGTGGTTCCCCCTCCCCCCCCCAGATTTCCGTTAAGAGAGGTAAGAGGCTTTCCCAAGGCAGTTGCAGTACAAATTGTAAAACTGAATGTAGGGCCTAATGTATTCAGCTGTTTTTTTTTCTAGTACTGGAGAAGCAAGAAGATGAAATGTTGGTTGCTTTCAGAAACCCGCTACTTTTTCTTCTTAAAACTAGAGATGGGGGTATTTGTATTCATGTACAAATATCCCCGTGCAGCGGGACTTAACAAGGGGCCAGTCTGGGGCCGGCACGTCCACTCATGCATCCCAGTGCAGCGGTGGCTCTGCTCTTCCTTCCAGTCACGTCTGGAGCACCAATCTCTTTCGCTCGCTTGGCTGGCCACTCCAGGCATGGGAAGGGAGGACGAGTCTCTCTGCACAGTTGCCGAGCGGCCAGCCGAGTGGAAAGAGAGCGGCACTCCTGGCACAATTGGAAGGATGAGCAGGACTGGCATCGCAGTGGGATGAATGAGTTGACGGTCCGGCCCCAGGCCAGACCCTCGTTAAGTCCAGGAATACGAATACCACCATCTCTACTTAAAACTATAGCAGTAAGGGTTGTTCTTTCCAAAGAGCAATAAATCACCTTTCATTACATGAAAATTGTAGTGTGTTGGTGTATTTCTTAAACATGGTTTATGACAGGGATGGGGAATCATTGGCTTGGGATAGATTCCATGTCTTCTCCTCCCCCCCCCCCAGCGATAGCCTTTTTTTTCCCTTATAAAAAATAAACTGGAAAAAGTGAGAGTGTGTCATTTCATATTTTTGGACTGCAACTCCCCAAGAATTTCCAGGCAGAATTCTAGGAGTTCCTGCCGGCACTCTCCTGGAACAGGAACTACCTTGGAGGCTACAGAGGCATGTGTTTCTTGCTTTCAATAAACAACAACAGAAACCTGTTCTAGTGTTTCCTGGGAGACAACAACTTCCTGCATCCTCCAGACCAAAAGGGCCTGGTCTCCTGATCCAGTGATGGTGGGAAGGGCAATATCGACCAGATGCAGCAGATGCTGGGAGTTGTAGTGCCACTGCTCATTAGGCTCTTTGGAGGACGCTTCCCAAAGAACTACAGCTATCAGGAAGCACTGCACAGGAAGTGGGGGTGAAAAGAGATGAGGTCAGTTGCTATCTGAAGTAGTATATGTCAAATAACTAGTATTTCACAAATGGGTGGTGCCCAGTGAAGTTTCATTGGAACATCTGAAGTCAGCACAGACTCAAATGTCTTAAACATTTTGAAGTGTGTGTGCATGTGTCACATGCATACAGTATATACCATGTTTCCCGGAAAATAAGACAGGGTCTTATATTAATTTTTGCTCCAAAATGCAGTAGGGCTTATTTTCAGGGGATGTTTTATTTTTTTCATGGACAACAATCTATATTCAAATACAGCCATGTCATCTTCTGGTTGCTGTACAATGCTGGAAGATGGGGTTTCACTTAACTAGGGCTTATTTTTGGGGTAGGGCTTATATTACAAGCATCCTGAAAAATCATACTAGGTTTTATTTTCCGGTTAGGTCTTATTTTGGGGGAAACAGTATGTACACACACACAACTTCACAAGCTGAATACAGTGGTGCCTCGCAAGACGAATGCCTTGAGCAACGAAAAACTCGCAAGACGAAAGCATCATTAAATTTCAATGCATTCCTATGGGAAACTGCACCTTGCAAGATGAAAATTTTGCAAGACGACATGACTCGCCGAACGAATTAATTTCATCTTGTGAGGCATCACTGTACGTTTGGACTGTGGAGATGGTGATCCTTAAATCTACAAATGTAATTATCCAGGTTTCTTGAAATATAGTTTCTACAAATTCTCTCCTTTATCATCATCATTCTTTATTATGGTCACAGACCAGCAAGATTATAAGAAAACAGAACATATAGAGTGACACATCCTTTAGTGAAAAAACTGAAGACATAGTGACTTTTGTAGAACTGAAGGCAAGATGTATCAGTTTTTTATTCTGTGGTTATGACTGTAATATTGTCTCCATTTATTATAGGCCACAATGGAGCTTCTTGAAGAAGATCTTACATGCCCCATCTGCTGCAGTTTATTTGATGATCCACGAGCACTACCCTGTTCACAGAACTTCTGTAAGAAATGTTTGGAAGGAATCTTGGAGGGAAATGCCCGGAACACAATTTGGAGACAGTGTCTTTTCAAATGCCCTACATGTCGGAAAGAAACTACTGTTACAGGTGTTAGCAACCTCCAGGTAAACTATTCCCTAAAAGGTATTGTGGAAAAGTATAATAAGATTAAGGTAACCACAAAAATGCCTACGTGTAAAGTGCATGGCGGTCAGCCTCTCAATATTTTTTGCCAGACAGACACTCAGTTGATATGTGGTATTTGTGCAACTCGTGGAGATCATGTAAAGCATGTGTTCTGTTCCATTGAAGATGCTTACTTTCAGGAAAAACTTGCTTTTGAGACCTTGTTCCGGGGCTTTGAAACATGGCGTTGTGGAGATGCACTTTCTCGACTAGATACACTGGAAAACAGCAAGCGGAAAGCCCTTCAAATGCTGACAAAGGACTATGACAAAGTAAAAGATTTTTTTGAAAAATTGCAACATACATTGGAACAAAAAAGAAATGAGATACTTTCAGATTTTGAGACAATGAAGCTTGCAGTTATGCAAGCATACGACCCAGAAATCAATAAACTGAACACTATCATACGAGAGCAACGAACAGCTTTTAATATTGCAGAAGCTTTTAAGGATGTATCTGAACCCATTGTATTTTTGCAACAGATGCAAGAATTTCGAGAGAAAATCAAAGTGATCAAGGAAACTAGATTACCTTGTCTTACAATAGACATCAACTCAACAATTAAAGGCTTTGATACTAGCCAGTGGGAAAATTTTAAGTTAGCAGATGTGGATAAACTTTCTTTACCTCAAGAAAAAGGAACTTTTAATCATGTAGTTTCTGTGTTCTTTTCACCAAAATTTATTGTGATTACTTTACTTTGCCTGCTTATCCTTGGTATGATGCAAATATACTCTCTGGATTTTGTAGCTAATCGTCTCCAGGACTGGGAAGTTATTGTTTCTACATTTAGTTCAGGGTATCTGGCAGACACAGCAGAGATGGCCGATCATGCTGTGTTTTACTGGGAGAAAATGACTGACAGTGCTGTAGTGCTAAGTGAAAGATGTGTAAACTACACCCTTGTAATTTTGGATAATGTTGCTCAATTTGTGTGCAAATACAAACTTTTGTAATTGTAATCGGTACAAGAATTATGTTAAATTGATTGCTTTAAAGTAGGGGTTGGTGAACATGTGGCCTTCTGTGGAAGCATTCTCATCAAGGTTGTTAAAGCTGTCATCTTTTTTTCGGTGCAGAGCAAACTCCTGGCACAGTGACAGCTGCTTCTGATGAGGGAGTGGCAACTGCTCATTCTGCCTTTTTTCCTTAGAGTCAGAGCATAACTTCAGAGGCTTTCTTCCGCCAATCCTAAGTGGCCATTAGGTAACTGGTGCCCTATCTTAATTCTGTCAACAATCTGTAAACTTGTTAAGGTTAATAAAAGGGAGTTCTCAGGGTGTCACCCTGGGGCTCTGCTGGACATCTTCCTGTTGACTCCTCATTAACTTCTCTCTAAAGTTAATTGCTTTCTTTGTTTGGTGATCACCTAACCATTAGCCTTTTTGTTTCCCAATCACTACAGCCTTCCATGTGTTGCTGGAATGTATTTCCATTAGCTGCACTGCCTGGACTGATAGGGTTCCATTACCAAACATCTGGAGGGCCACAGATTCTTCACTCCTGCTGCTTCAGATTAGATTTTTTAAAATTACAATGACAATGCCTGGTGGATTTTGACACTATTTTAATTTTAAAATATTGATACATTTTCTGTTGTTCATGTATGTATGTTGGATATTTTATGCATTCTGTTTCTGAATTATGCTGACTTTTTAATTAAAAACTTCAGTTTCTATTTACTGTATCTTGTTTTTCTCTGCATGGAAGAGCTGTCAGAGTATTGAAAATTTACAGGCCTGAACAGAAAAGAGCAGAGGTAATAATGAGCTACTATGTTGTACAGGTGTGTGATTTGCTGAGTCACAGTGACTCTGGAGAGGTGGTGCCTTGGATCACTGGTTCTTAACCTTTGTTACTCGAATGTTTTTGAACTGCAACTCCCACCCAGAGTGGTGCCGCTCAGAGTGGTATAAGTATACCAGATGGGCGGGATATAAATCAAATCAATCAATCAATCAATCAATCAATCAATCAATAAATAAATAAATACATAAATAGAAACCCCAGCCAGCACAGTTGGTGGTGAAGACTTCTGGGAGTTGCAGTCCAAAACTCGTGAGTAAACCAAGGTTAAGAACCAGTGCCTTGGATGATACCAGTGCCAGTGCCAGTGCCAGTGTGTGTGTGTGTGTGTGTGTGTGTGTGTGTGTGTGTGTGTGTGTGCACTGTATAGAGAATATGTACCCTCCACCTTCATTGATGATCCACCTTCATTGATGATGCCATGCTGTCATGCTGTCACTTTCTACACTTGCATATATGCTGTAAATACACGTGTCGTGCTGGAGGAAGCTGAACATGTCTGAGTGATTTATTTCGCCTTCTGGACTGAAAATACTAACTGCTGGATTCTATGCAGGTTCGCGGTAACAACAGCCATATTAAATGAACTCTTACAGGAGTGTGTATCCACAAAGGAAATACAGAATATGCATCTTGATGTTTTAAATGAATTGCTAGGTAGATCTAGATTCTAAGCATACTTACCTTGACAGTAAGTCTCGCTGACTTCAGTGAAACTAATTTCTAACTACAGTAATTATATTTGTGATCTTAAAAAGGAGGAATTTCTCTTAACTCTTAATGTTTTGCCCAGGAATTCTGGAACAGGAAAGAAAAGTGTGCTAAAGACAGGCACAGACCACTGTTCGGCCTGGTTTGGCTCAGCACTCGCACAGGTGTTCCACGGGCACCTCATGCTTCCTTTCCCTGCCTCCTCCAGGCTAGGGATGTTGGCAAGTCTTTGTGTCCAAGTCTTCAGGCCTGAATCCCAAATCCAAGCCTGAGTCTTTGGTACCAAGTGCTGAGGCCCAAACCTTGAGTCCAAGTCTCAAGTTGTTCCCCCCCCCAAGGCTTGGGACTCGCAACTTGGACCCATTTGTGGGACTCTCCTCAGATGATCACTCACTCAGAGGCAGCGCTGTGGGCTTCCCTGCGTTGCTTCCTCATCTCAGTAGGCAGCCATCAGAGGAGGAAAGCACATTGCTGCCAGGGAGCGGATGATTGCCTGCAGAAGGTGGGGACGGAAGTGTCCTGCTGCCAGTGAGTAGGCAATTGCCTGAGGGAGGGAAGCGCATGGTACCCACTTGTGCAGATGCTGCACCAAACCAGCCTGAACTGTGGTTTGTGCCTATCTGGACATGACTTCATTCTGTATTTGCTTTATTATTGTTATTTAGTCGTGTCCGACTCTTCGTGACCCAATGGACCAGAGCACACCAGGCCCTCCTGTCTTCCACTGCCTCCCGGAGTTGGGTTAAATTCATGTTGGTCACTTCAATGACACTGTCCAACCACCTCGTCCTCTGTCGTCCCCTTCTCCTCTTGCCTTCACACTTTCCCAACAGCAGGGTCTTTTCCAGGGAGTCTTCCCTTCTCATGAGATGGCCAAAGTATTGGAGCAGCTTCAGAATCTGTCCTTCCAGTGAGCACTCAGGGTTGATTTCCTTCAAAATGGATAGGTTTGTTCTTGCAATCCAGGGGACTCTAAAGAGTCTCCTCCAGCACCACAATTCAAAAACATCAATTCTTCAGCGGTCAGCTTTCTTTATGTACATATAAAAATTAGTAAAGAAATGGCATGTGTATATTTTGAATCTGGGCAGGAAATTTAGACCTACATGCCTGTAGGGGGCTTCCTATACTTGGACTGTACGTTCACCCCTGCTAGCATGTGGTCTTCAACATGTTTGGCTGGAGTTTTTTTGGGGGGGCCTTGGACTTCTTTCTAAAAGTATGAGACTAAAACCAAACAAGAAGTTGATTAAGTCTTAGTAAAAATTTAAAAACAAATAGATTATTAAATTTGAATTATATTTATTGAGTAATCTGTAATTGAAATGTGAAATTACTGATCTAACAAAAATTTATAAAATGTGTTATTAAAAGCTATCTTACCAGCTGGTACTTATCAGCTAGTAAATTTATAACTTGTCCCTATAAAACCACCAATGTAATGCCGATTTTCACGGTGGGATGGAGAGAATTTATGTTGGTTAATATAAATTTTTGCTCCAGATAAATTGATGGAAAGTATTATTGAAGCTCAGATTATTTATATAAATGGGCCTGTCTTGCTGAAGAATTATGGCTCTTCCGCAATCAAGTTCTATCTTGCTCATATACAGAATTCTGATAGCATTAATAGAGATTCCAGTGGTCTAGTAGACATTGTATATGTGAATTTTCAAAAGGTATTGAACCAGCACAGCTCTTCATATGAATCAGTACTTGGCCGAAGAACAGGGAGCAAATTAGGAAGTTTTTATAGTGAAGGATTGTAAGAACTCCACTAATCTGTGCTGGGACTTGTTCATGAGTAATCCGGCATTAGGTTGATCAAGGAGGTTACTGTATTTGCTGATTGAGGAGAATTATATGATTAGTAAAAAGAAAAGGGAATTGTAAAGAACTCCAGGAAGATCCCCAGTTTGCAAATGCAAATGTACAGTGATGCGGCACAGATATGCAATGTAAAATAGCTTCCTTGTCATATGAGGATTGGTGGCAGTGAAAGTAGTTCAGTAACTGGAGTGACACTAGTGGGAAACCTAAAATAATCTCAATAAATCTGGGGGTATAAATCCATTTGAAGGCCTGTTGAGTGGCAGTGGATGAATTGATGTCAGACACCACTGTTTGCATAATTGTCCAACAGTGTTTGCATAGAGAAATAACATTACTCTAGTCCACAAGAAGAGGTCCCGTTGTGACTGATTTTCATGATAGTGCAGATAAAATTGCTTGGGTTCTGCGTAAGGTGTGTGCATGTTTTGCCTGGATAAGGTGAAGAACCAGAGAGAGAGAGTTAGGACACAAAGATTGAGACCAACAAAATCCAGAGGAACTATGGGACTTTGTATTTCTGGCTATAAGCCCTCATTGTGAGAAAGTCAACTCTTGAACTGAACATTTTGAACGATACTTTCAGTAAGTTGACAAAAAACATCTGCTGCTGAGAGAGTAGAGCAAAGGGGATTAAGAACACCCTGCTACGAAGATCCTCCTGAGCAAGCAAGTTCCACACCTGTCCACTAAGTGATGGAAGACACATTAAGCATTCCATACTTCACAATAAGTGGTAAGGACCATATATCTAGGGGGAAACAAACATCTAATGTACATGCCCAGCTAGCAACCTGCCTAAAAAAGAATATAAAAAGAGGGGTCTGGGCAACCATATTTTGTCTGCTGAGACCAAAAGGCTTTTGGAACTAACTACTTTCTTTGGAACTTGGACAATGCAAATAAAGAATTATTCTGTCTTTGGTGAGTATGTATGAATGTGTTGAATGCATGAAATCCCTTTATTTAGAATCAATAGGTAATAAAGTGTATTCATTTTGTGTCTTGTGAAGTCCTTTGTTGTTTAGTATTGTTCTTCTTGGAATACAAAAGATGAAGTAGTCACCCTTTTATGACATCTGTAGCTAATATGAATCTGATGAATGTAACTTTGTCTAGTGCTAATTGAAAATTTTCTATGTCTGTAACCCAGTCCCCTGGACTGCAAGAAGAACAAACCTATCCATTCTAAAGGAAATAAACCCTGAGTGCTTGCTGGAAGGACAGTTCCTGAAGCTGAGATTCCAATACTTTGGCCATCTCATGAGAAGAGAAGGCTCCCTCGAAAAGCCCCTGATGTTGGGAAAGTGTGAAGGCAAGAGGAGAAGGGGACGACAGAGGACGAGATAGTTAGACAGTGTCACCGAAGCTACCAACATAAATTTGACCCAAGGCAGTGGAAGACAGGAGGTCTGGCGTGCTCTTGTCCATGGGGTCACGAAGAGTCGGACACGACTTAACAACTAAACAACAACAAACCCAGTGATATGGACAGTATCTTTGGATATGTGAGACCCTGATGTGTGTGCTTGATCTGTGCCTTTTACTGGGAAGGGCTATTTTAATGGATCATCTGAGTGGTAAACATTTAATTGTTGCAAGGCAAAGTTCTACCATTCCTAGGAAAGGCAGGAATAATACCTTTCTGCTGAAACAACCCTCCCTGAACACCATTGCACTGAATAATTTCCAGCTGCTTTCCAGTATCTCACTCTTAGGACAGTTGCTGATGCATGTAGTGAAGAGGGGATACAGTGATGTCAAAGAATCATGGAATAATGAAGTTGCAAGAGCCCTTTAAGCTTCTGCTCAATACAGGAATACAAATCAAGGGATAGCAGCCAGGTAGTTGTCTAAGTTTCTCTTGAATGCCTCGAGTGTTGGAACACTCACCATCTCTCAAGGTAACTAGTTCCACTTTCGTACTGCTCTAGCAATTAGGAAGTCTTTCGTGATACTCAACCAAAATCTGGCTTACTGTAACCTGAGCCCATTGTTCTGTGTCCTGCACTGTGGGATGATTGAGAACAGATCCTGCTCTGTGTGGCAGCCTTTCAAATGCTATTGTATCTCCCCTTCATCTTATTTTCTCAAGGCTTAAATATGCCCAATTATTTTAGTCTTTCCTCATAGGGCTTGGTTTCCAGCCCCC